TTTGGTGAAAAGGCGTTTGCATCTTGTGACACGGGGGCTTCCGGTCTGGTGACCTGGCTTTGCCAATAGCTTGATTACGGTGCCCCTTGTGCTCTGGCCAGCCCGTCAGAGCGACGCACACGGCAAAGGCTGACTCCAGCCGTTTTGTTTCCTGCCTTCACCAGGTGAACCAGGCTGACGCTTTGCTTGAAGACTTGGATGGTGACAGACACCCCTCTAAACGCCAACTTCGTCCCTGCAGGAGCGACAGCGCGGACAATCCTGGCCAGCAGCACTGGAAACATTGCCTTTCATAAATGTAGCTTGGACCAACTTTTGGTTGGGATACTCAGTGTATTTGCGTGGGCTGCAGACGGGTTGGGCCCCGCACGGCCTCTGCTCTCCATGCCGGATCTCGCACAACAAGTGGGAAGTGCAGCGATTTTTCTTGCTGGCGACAGGCTCTGCCGCAGTCATGTTGGAAAGAAGGCAAGTGCTGCCTTGGAAGTGGCCTTAAGCGCGTTGATCTGCTGGCTTTTCCCTGATGATAGCCATTTCGGCCGGACGCATGGAGGTGGTGTTCGAGCCATTGCTGGTGTAGCTTGCGCACACGGCTTGTTGCTCCTCAAAGCACGCAGGCACACAAAGCTTGCAAAGCAAGTTGGTCGGGTCCTCACGCGGGAACAGCGGGCAGTCTTTTGGCCTGAGCTATTCCGTGATGTGACGGCTTCCCGGAGAGAGGTGGCAGTTCATGAGTTGATGCATTTGCAGTTGCTTGCAGTGCGCGGACAGGGCATGTGCCTTACACACTATGGTGCTACTGCGGACGACTTGAACATCCTGTACCAGTGGTTCGGGCCTTCTCGTTATGTGGGCAAGGCTCGTTTGGTCCGTGACTCTCGGCCGCAAGTACCAGGTGTTGGACAACGGTTTTTGGAGCATTTTCTGCGCTGGAAGCGACCGCACCTCAAAGGTGCGGATGTTACACGCTATGCAAAGTTTAGGCGCACCTCCGCTACCGGCATGGCCTTCCTAGTTTGCAGAGCAGGCCCTGAGCGGATGATCAGTGCCGCTGAAATTGTGGAGATACGGCGCCACTGCCCGGAGGCCAATGTTCAGGGCAACCCGCTTGCACAACGTCAGCGTGTGACCCGGCGCTCCAGGCCGCCTGCTTCTCAGAGACGCCGTAGCCAGTACGCTGCCAAAGCCTTCCCAGGAACCTTTGAAGGGCCCTTTGCTGGCCAGCAACTGCAGGCTGCTCTGAAAACAATTGGACGTGCTCGTGACTGGCATGACAGGTTCCAGCATCCGGACCTTGGGCAGTTACTCCAGTACAACTTTCGCCGTGGATATGCGCACTACGTCCAAGCGTGGATGGCCTCTACTGGCTGCATTGGGCCGGTCAACATCTATAGCCGGCAGAAGTGGAAGCTCCTGGCGATGTTTCTGGGGACATTTGGCTGCGAGATTGATTGGGCACTCCTGGACAAGCACTGGGGCGCGCCTTGCGCCATGATTGAGCTATGGTCCAAACTCCGCCGGTGGCTCCCTTATCGGAAAAAGCTGTTGGCGCAACAAA